TCATTAAAAGGTTTTTAATTCCTCCTCACTATCTGCCATCAGCATGACACCTGCAATGGACTTTTCCTCCAGGAATCTGTCCGATCTCCTTTTAAAAGCATCTAAGCCAGACGAAGTCACCACATCCTGTGGCAAGGAGTCCCACAGACTAACCACCCGCTGGGTCAAGAAATCTTTTCTTTGGTCTGTTCTCACTCTCCCAACGCTTAATTGGAGTGGATGTCCCCTGGCTCTGGTATTACGTGAGAGAAAGAGCTTCCCTCTATCCACTTGATCCATCCCCTGCAGAATTATTACCTCTCAATCATGTTTCCACCCAGGCGCCTTTTCTCTAGATTAAAGAGCCCCAAAAACACATATATATCTGTGGGGTGTTTTTGGTTTGTGAGATGCGTGGAATGTTGTTCTCCAGTAACCAGTGCTTTGCGCAGGGAGCCCCTCACGCACAGTCACAGAATAAACATAGAATTGTGAATCACAGAATCGTCATAGGGCTAGAAGGGACCTTGGAGGTCTTCTAGTCGAACCCCCTGCCCAAGGCAGGAGACCTCATACCCTCCTGGACAGATGGCTTCTTGGAGACCTCCAGCGATGGGACAGCCACAACATTGGGTTCTCACCGTCAGGAAATTCCTCCTTCTTTCCAGGCGGGATCTCCCTAGGATGAGTTTTCCACCCATTGGTTCTTGTCCTACTCTCAGGCGTAATGGAGAACAAACTGATGCCCTCTTTCCCTGTGGCAACCCTTCAGATATTGGAAGACTGCTTCCTCAGTCTTCTTTTCATGAAGCTAAACATACCTTGTTCTTTTAGTGTTTATTTTAATGGCTTTTCTCCCGTGTGAGTTCCTTGATATTTAATTGGGAGCCCCATTTTGGCTGCCGAGTATTTTTTTCAAGAGACTAGTTTGAATCAGGACTTTTTGCATACATCTAAATAAATAAATTGGGAAAGGAGTACGACAAGGCTGTATATTGTCCCCCAGCTTATTTAACTTGTATGCAGAATACATCATGGGGAAGGCTGTACTAGAGGAATCCCAAGCCGGAATTAAGATTGCTGGAAGAAATATCAACAACCTCCGATATGCAGATGATACCACTCTGATGGCAGAAAGTGATGAGGAATTAAAGAACCATGCAATGAGGGTGAAAGAGGCGAGTGCAAAAAACGGCCTGAAACTCAACATCAAAAAAACTAAGAGAATGGCCACTGGTCCCATCACCTCCTGGGAAATAGAAGGGGTGGAACACCTATCCTGAATGGTTCCCGTAAGCATAATTCTATCTGTAAACCAGAGACAAAAGAAGTACGTGGGTTTTTCGTCCTTGCACCCCCCGAGGAAGTCTGGGGGCAGGGCTGGGATGCATCGCCCATAGCCCTGCGCTAGTTGACCAAATCACCCCTTCCCTGAAACAATCCAATCTCGTAGGCCTTCCATTATCCCAACCAGAATTATTCGACGGAAATGTAACCCACACCCCAAAATCACCTCCTGGCAGAAAAGGAGGGCTTGGGACAACTCCACCATGCACTGGGCATGTGCCCTCTTCTCCTATACTTGCCCGGGACTCTGGCACCAAAAGACATGACACACCATCTATCTACTGAAAGTTGGATTTATTGAGAGAAATAAGTGCTAATGATTTGATCTCGAACCTCCACCCCACGAGGATCTTGCTCTACAACGCCATCCGTTTCCAGATACGGGGGTACGGGAACCTCAGTATCCACCCCTTGTCCGCCATTGAGGATGGGCAACTGACGCCGCAGGGCCATGTTGTGCAACATGGCGCACACTACAAACACCTTGGCCACCTTCTCCGGGCGGAGCATGAGCCGGCCTCCAGTGGAGTGGAGGCACCGGAACCTCATCTTGAGTTGCCCAAAGGCCCTCTCCACCACCATCCGCGTCGTCTCGTGCGTGGCATTGTAACGTGCCACGGGCTCTGGGCCATCCTCAGGATGGGGCGTCATCAGGAAAGGACGCAAGGGGTAGCTGCAGTCACCTGTGGGGAAGAGTTGCGTCATGAGCACAGAAAACATCCCGGTAAGGTTGGAAATATTGCAACCTACATATGATGCCTTTCGAGAGCCACCTCTCTACCTCAAGATTCTTTTCCTGCTTTTTCCCCCAGTTGGGAGTAAGCCAGGCTTCAGTTGATAGACTGTAGACAGAGCGATGTGTTCTGTCCGTTATGTAGTCAGTATGAAGTAGTTAATCTCTACTGATGCAATCATTTAATATTTCTACACAATGTGATGTTTGTGTCTGTATATGAAGAGCTGTAAGTAAAATGGAACATTATATTCTTTTCTCTTACCAGAGAGACAGAGTGAAAGATGGAGACAGTTAAGTGCCCATTGAGGCAAACTTACCAAATAAGGGGTGGTCGACTAAGGGGAGACGTAAAGTCATTTTGCTCTGTCGGGCCCAGACTGAACTGAGGAGCAGCCTCCTAAGTGTCTCCCCCACCCCCTTGGAAGGGAGATTCTCACTTGCTCCATCCAAAACGCTCACCTAAAAGCCACCCCTTCCCTTCAGGCCACGACTCCAGCAGCCTCTGCAGCTGGGACAGCTGGAATATCCGGGCGTCATGGACGCTCCCAGGGAACTTGGCCAAGACGTGGGTGAAGCACCCCGAGGCGTCGCAGGTGGCCTGCACGTTCAGGCTGTGGAAGTTGTGGCAGTTGCGGTAGAGGGCCGGCATATCGGCCGGGGCGATGATGGGCACGTGCGTGCAGTCCACGATCCCAATGACATTCGGGAAGCCGGCGATGTCGAAGAAGGCGTCCCTCGTGCGGCGGAGCTCCGAGTCGGTGGTGGGGAACGTGATGTGCTCGTGGACGTGGCGGAGCATGGCCTCCAGGAACGCATCCAGGCAGCGGCTGACGGAGGACTGGGACACCCGGAGGTTGTCGCCCGTCATCCGTTGGAAGGAGCCGGTGCCCAGGACCTGCAGGGCGATCAGCACCTTCTGCAAGGTCGGGATGTGCCGGCGGCTGGCCGAGGCTCCATCCAGGTAGGGCGCCAGCAGCGTGCACAGGTCTTGGACGGCCTGGCGGTCCAGCCGGAAGCGGGTCAGGCACTCCTCGTCCGACACCTGGAGCTCGTGCGTGCGCATGCGGATGAGGCGGGTCCGTCGGGGTGGCCGCCGGCTGTGGATCTCCAGGTTGGCGGCATAGACCAGGTCCAATAGGCCCTCGTCGTCGGAGCTGCCTTCCTCCGGGTAGAGGGGAAGGGGGCCGCCCGCCCGGGGTTCCACCGGCCCTAGGGTCCCTGTAAGGGGGAAGGTGGGGGGAGATCCAGGTTACGTTCAGAATTGGGGAACGGTATTTAAAAAAAGATCAGCCTTCCTCTTTGGCCGTAAGGCACTCAAGAGCCTCCTCCTCTTAGGACGGTAGAAGGGGAAGAGACCTAATGGGATCATCGAGTCCAGCCTCTCTCAAGGGAGGATTCGAACTCCCAACCTCTCAAACTCCCAACCTTATATCAGAAGGAACTTAAGCGGATACCATTTTTCACCATTTAGGGAAGGCTTTGTAAACCGTATTCCCTTCTCTCTCCAGTTCTGAGAGACCCTCCCCTCAAAGGGCAGTTTCATGTGGTCTAAAAATATTCATCCTCCGTGACGGCTCTAGAACACCCCCCCCCTTACATGAGTTTCATTCATCAGGGGCTTGGCCCAGAGTTTGGAAAGAACTTGTTACAAATTTATTCATTATTCCAATCCATTCAAATTTTAATAAGGAATTGATCACAAATAATCATCATCTTCATGAGCCATCAAGTCAATCCTGACTTTTCAGGGTTTTCCAGGGAGAGAATACTCAAAAGTAGTTTGCTCTTCCCTTCTTCGGGGGGGGGGGGTTTTTCTGGGGCTGTGTCGCCAGCCCAAGGCCGCCCAGGCTAGCTCTTCTCCCAGGAAGGGGAATTTGAACTCCCAACTTCTGGTCCCGCAGACAGAGACCTCAGCCCCTGAGCTGTCGAGCCAGCTAAATTGATCATAACATAGCTATTAGTTAAAATTGTAATAATTTTAATACTACAACATGAAGGCTCTATCTTAATGTTTCTTGTCCCATCAATTTAATATGGGGATTTTTAGAAGTCTGCACAATACTTTGAAGGGTCAGTGATTTATCACGTTAATTCACGAACTACTGTAAATGCGCCAATGATCCTGAATGAGCAAATTAAATTGTGATAACAATGTAGGCTTTAGCAGGCGACCCACTTTCCATCAGTTTCTGTAGATTCCGAGGTCTTTAGAAGCTTATGGGGCACATCATACCCCTATCCATAAAACAATGGTTTGTATTTTTTTTATTTTTATTTTTAGTAATTTCAGTAGGGTTTTCCAAGTGTTATCTCTAAAAGTAGATTTCACCGAAGCAGAAAAAGAAATTCATCCTGTCCTGACAGATGCCAAGGATGGAGCTGAGAGGAACTTTGTACCACTTAGTAGACACCAGGGCTGTTTATAATCCCTTTATTAAGAGCCTGAGTGAAGGGAGGTACAGTGGTGCCTCGCTTAACGAGCGCACCGTTTAACGACGAAT